AATGAGGACCCAGACTGTGGGGGCAATATGCTGACTCTGTAAACCGCTTAGAGAGGGCTGAAAGCCCTATGAAGCGGTATATAAGGCTAACTGCTGCTAAAAATCACACCGACAACAGCGCGGCGACAGAAACGCGCTGTAAAACTAAACCTAACCCTAAACGTAACGCTAACCCTAACCCTAAACGTAATGCTAACCCTAACCCTAACCCTAAACCGTTTTGGCAACGCGCTTTTGTTGACGCGCTGTTGTCGTGCGCACTTTTGTCAGGTCACGGTTCAAAGCAGCTCCTTGTAGAGGAAATTAAAGCATGACCTACTCTGAACAGAGTTTCCCAATTCAGAATGGTCATGGCTGATACAGCAGGTATAACTGATTGGTTGGTTGATTGATTTTTATCCTGCATTCATTATTTTATAAATCGCAAAGTAGCAAACATACGTAATACTCCTTCTTCCTCTGATTTTCCCCACAGCAACAACAACAACCCTGTGAGGTGAGTTGGGGGGAGAGAGAAGGACCACACCGTAGTCAGCCAGCCGGCTTTCGTGGTTAAGGCAGGACTGGAACTCACAATCTCTCGGTTTCTAGCCGGGGGCCTTAACCACTAGACCGAACTGGCTCTCATTGTTACTTCCATGTTCATAAATTCTCCCCCTCCTTTTCTCCCCCCATTTAAGGTGGAACAAGAAAAAATGCATCAGAAACTGAAGGAACAAGCTTTGCTTTTGGATGCTGTTACGCGAGACCTTCAGGTTGTGCAGAAAGAAAAAGCTCAGCTCCAGAAAAAACTGTGAGAGGCAATTGAGATTTGTGTGATTGTTCCCCAAGTGTGACCCACTTCCTTTCCTGTTCTGTTTTCTGCATTTGTCTCTTAGTTTAGCACAAGCTCTACCTTATTCGGCTTCTTGCACTGTCTTCTGAATTTTTTGAAGAATGTAGAGGATAACAGGACTGCCACATAGTTATGTTTATTCTGCAGAGAAGACTTGCAAACTGAGCATGCTGAATGCAAGAAGAGGGACTGTAAAGAAGACACCATTGCCGCTGAAAAGGCCCGCCTGGAGTCTGTACTTTCCCAGACCCAAAAGGAATTGGAGACAATTATACAGGAGCGAAATTCTTTGCTAAATGAGAAAAAGATACTTGAAGAAGAGGTACAGTGGCTATTTATTGTGGTTTTACAGTAAAATCCGCATTTTTGTCGGAAGGACATTACATGTTCGTTAGAGAGAGGCAGATTTGTATTTGGAATCTTAGTTAAAAAAAAAAACAACTCAAGAAGATGTTTGCTGCTTTGTATAATATACCAGTACCAAAATGGCAAATACAAATCATCCTTTACTTATAACTGCAAATGAGCCCAAAATTTCCATTGGTAATTAAGGCAATTATTAAGTTTATTTTGCCCCATTTTACGACCTTTCTTGACCCAATTGTTTAGTGAATCGTGACCCGTCAAAACCGCGGAGGACAAAATCGCGCTCGACGAAAGCGCGCATGTGACGTCATTACAGCGCGACGAAAAAAATAAAAAATTGAAATAAAATTAAAATTAAAGCAAGCCAATTCACATAAAGGTAAGGGTTAGGTTTAGGGTTAGGGTTAGGTTAAGGGTTAGGGTTAGGTTTAGAGCGTTAGGGTTACGTTTAGCGTTAGGTTAAGGGTTAGCGTTACGTTAACGGTTAGGTTTAGGGTTAGATTTAGGGTTAGGTTAAGGGTTAGGTTTAGGGTTAGGTTTGGGGGGGTTAGGGTAAGGTTTTCGCTTTATTTTTACATTTTTCGATCACAGCGCGATGTTTTCGTCGCGCTGTGATGACATCAAATGCGCGCTTTCGTCGAGCGCGATTTTGTCCTCCGCGGTTTTGTGGTGGAACCTAGTGAATCACTGTGATTAAGTGAATCATTCAGTTGATTAGTGAATCTGACTTCCTCCATTGATTTTGCAACTGTCAATGCCATAAATACAGTTGCCAGTTGCCAAGCATCTGAATTTTGATCATGTGACCATGGGGCTGCTGCAAAGTGTGAAAATTGGTCATAAGTCACTTTTTTCAGTGCTGTTGTAACTTTAAACGGTCACTAAGCAAATGATCGAGGACTATCTATGAGTGACCTTATATGCAAGATTTGAATTGACTCAAAATAATATTTCTGTGCCCAATTTTTTAAATAAAATTTGCCCCAGAAAATAGCATAGAAAACCAGTATATTCTGCAATAACCAATTTTGTTGTACACATGCTATACAATGGCAATAAAGGCTATACTATGGTATTTGAGGGGACGCGGTGGCTCAGTGGCTAAGATGCTGAGCTTGTCGATCAGAAAGGTCGGCAGTTCAGTGGTTCAAATCCCTAGCACTGTGTAACGGAGTAAGCTCCTGTTACTCGTCCCAGCTTCTGCCAACCTAGCAGTTCGAAAGCATGTAAAAAATGCAATAGAAAAATAGGGATCACCTTTGGTGGGAAGGAAACAGCATTCCGTGCGCCTTTGGCGTTTAGTCATGCCAGCCACATGACCACGGAGATGTCTTCGGACAGTGCTGGCTCTTTGGCTTTGAAACAGAGAAGAGCACCGCCCCCTAGAGTCAGGAACGACTAGCACATATGTGCGAGGGGAACCTTTACCATTACCTTTTATGGTATTTGATGAGTTATCGCTAATCACTGCTGATTCAGATTTTTACAAAAGCAACCATTCCTAATGTACATGAAGAAAAAAAACTATATAATAGATTTTTCCTTGAAGTGTTTGGCAAAAAAACTATTTTAATTCTTAATGGCAGTCGCAGCAAACAATACAAGAAACAAGAAAGTCTGAAAAGTTGGAAGCCGAACTAACGGAAAAAAAGGTACAGCATTATATACAAGTGTTGAAAGTATTGAGGTTCCCATTGGCCAACAGTTAAGTCTGTCAATTGATTTGCAATTCATTGGGTTGTAGATCCAGATTTGCTTGGAATAAACTTGGAAAAGCATAGGAGGCATCCCTAAACCTTTGCCTATTACTTTTAACCTCTGTTTAGTTCAAGATTTAGTTCAAATACTTATTTGGTGAAATGATCCAGTAGGTTAAGGTTATTTTAAAATTCTTTGACAAGCAGTTCAAAACTGGGTCTTCTTTGTGTTACTAAGTTCTACAACCAGCCAATCATGATATATATAAAAAAACCAGAATATATTTTCTAGATAAATGTGTGATAACCATAGCAAAGATATTCATTTTATCTATTTGATGTTTACAAATAGAAGACTAATTATTTGTCATTTTTAGTCATTTTAGACGTTAGCACCTGATGCTGTACATAATTAGCAATTATCTGGCTCCCTCTGCTGCTAGAGAAATATCTAGATAGGTTTCATTTTCCAAATGGTTCAAACTATGAACAATTAACTATATTTTATGGCACCTGAAATGTGGTCTTTGTTTCTTTTTTTAAGTCGGAAATTAATTGCCTGCAAGAATCAGTGAAAGCACTAGAGAAAGAAAAAAGGGAATTTTTGGAGCAGGATGCTGCACTTAAGCACCAAAAGGTATGCAACTAAAATAGTACAACATGGCATAAAAGTAAAGTCATTTGATGATATCTCTTCTACTCCAATTAAAAAAAAATAACCTTCAACAAAAAGGAATGTTAAGGGGGGGGGGTTGGAATCAATACTTTTTTGCAGTAGCATCGGAAGTAAAGGTTTATTTTAATCATATCTGCAGTTTTCACAGCATCTGGTTTAATTTTACTTAGTTTCTCATTTTACTTTTGCATTCAGGACTGGTCTTCTGTCTCAGGCAAAGAGAAGTTTAGCGATAACCTTTCCCCCCGTTTCCTGTCAACTCTGCAGGTTCATTGTTGTTAGAGGACATTGCAGCCTGCTTGTTTTCTGCTTTATTGGGCATTATCCTGTGGTCAGCACTGAAATGAAATTCTGCAGTCAGGGTGTGACTTGAACTAAGGTGTTCTGGGCCATTATCCTCTCTTACTTCTGGTTCCCTTAATGAGCCTCCACGTAAATCCTTGAATTTCTTTTTATACTACAGGTAACCGATTCCCTTACTAACAAGGGAATGGGGCTGACTCAGTAACAGCGGTTACTTTTATGTGCAGCCTATTCAGCTTTTCTTCTCAAAAAGCGACACGGTTGTCTATTTATGCAATAATACGAAGAGAATACAGAACCTTATTATCATCTCAGTTAAGATGGGTGGACTTCAACTCCCAGAATTCTCCAGCCGGTATCCCAGCAAGAGAATTCTGGGACTTGAAGTACAAACATCTTAACATTGCTGAGATTGAAAAATAATCTATACTATCTATACATAAAGCCATCTGCAAATGACCAACCCTCAAAATGTTAAAAAAAACCATGAAAAATGTGCCACCTAAGGATAAGTTGACATCTACATTTTTGTATTTTTTTTTATTTTTGCCATATCTGTGAGTCGCACATTTTTCATGTTTTTTTTTTACATTTTGAAGACTAATTTGTAAGAGCATTACTGTATGTACAGTATTGCAGATAAGCGAAATACAATTTTTAAATATATTTTGGCATCTAAAACTCTTGCGAGTTTTAGGTTGAGGTATGGGAAGAAGATTATTTTTGAGCTTATGGGTAGTTTACACACCCTGAGATTCTTAGGGCAAACTATAAATACTTCAATGAATAAATTGAATCAATGTTTTGGAGAAAAGAAACATTTACTATAGATATCTCCAGGCCTAACTACCCAAACTGTAATTTCAATATCCTTGGTTTACAGAGAACAGGCTCCTCTGTTTTCATCTTGCTAACCAGTGTTTTCTCTTTTATTATGCTTTGAGCTAATAATGAAAATTTATGACTGCTTCATTTCTTTACAATTTGCTATGAATCACAGCTGAATGAAAGCAAAGAAAAAGAATGAGGAGAGAGAAATTTCTAAGCCACATGCTTTAGTTTAGGGAGCATAAGACAATGACTGGTCCATCAGCCACTAAAATAAGTTTGAAAAGTTAACAAAAGAAAAGATAACAAAAACGGGCATATGCTAAAAGGAAAATTCAGGTAGCTAAACTGTTGAAAGGAGGATCATTCTTGTGCTTCCTGTTCACCTCCTTTTACTTTCTCCTGATCATTAGATCTATACTGTTTTTCAGCATAATCCCTTTAGAGACACTTCTGCTGCTGCCCTCCTGAATAATCCTCTTTTTATTTCTGGAAATGAGTTGGAAGAATAAAATCTGATTTTTGAGAGTGCTTGAAACATCCTGTGTTTTCTATCATTGAATCCTGTTCTGCATGAAGACAACTCATAAACGTGTCCATAATTTTTCTTCAAGCTGAAGAATGATAGACTGTGCCTCTGGTGTCTTTTTTTAAAAAAAAATGTATTTTATCAAACTTCTTTAAAGGGAAAGAAGAGGCAAGCGAGTGAAAAGAGAAATAATAATTGCTTGTGATATCTTAGAATTTTTACTAGACTATTAGTAAATTTACTAGAACATGTTATGAAATGTTGTAAAAAGGAGAGAGTTGGCTTGAATGCTTAAATATATTTTGGGGGGCAGTTTGTTTTTAAACCCAGGAATGAGAAATCTGTATCTGATCCCCACTTTAAGGGTTATAGTTCATCCCATTGCTGCAGTGCTTAAGCCATTCTTCATATTAAGACAAGAGCAAGCACTTCCCTAACTTCACCAATCTGATTCTCAGACTTTTAAAAAGTACACCTGTAGCATAGAAAGTGGCTTCTGTCTGTGGCACTTCTGGAGTACTTGAATATTATCTGAAATTTATCTTTCAGGTCCTTTCATTAATTTCCAACTGCTGTTTTTTATTTGAAACATATTATAAACAAAACAGCTTATAGGCCTGAACCAAGGTGGCGCAGTGGTTAAATGCAGCACTGCAGGCTACTGCTAGATCAGCAGTTCAGCGGTTCAAATCCCACCGGCTCAGGGTTGACTCAGCCTTCCATCCTTCCGAGGTGGGTAAAATGAGGACCCAGATTGTTGGGGGCAATATGCTGACTCTCTGTAAACCGCTTAGAGAGGGCTGAAAGCCCTATGAAGCGGTATATAAGTCTACTGCTATTGCTATTGCTATGAACACTAAACAAAGAATAGAAATTAAAAGATAGGTCTTTGCAGACACAAAGTCGATCATTCCTATGGCACAGAAATCTTTTTTTTAAAATGACTTGGTTGTGTTGTCTAGGAGTTGATGGATATTTTCGGATGACAGTGAAGAAGAGGAACAAGAAATAAATAAGAGTGAAGACAAACCTAGGAATAGTGACATTTTAGTCATTAAATTGATGTCACAGTTGATACTCCAATTTTACTTAAAAATATCACCTTACAGGTAGTCAATACTGATTAGAACTGAAAACTCTTGTTAAGCAGTGTCGTCATGGGTTGAACAACTATGTGACTGCACCGCTTAGCAAAGGCAGTCCTAGTAATGTTTGTTAAGCTAGTCATTAAGTGAGGATCTCATGTGACGGTGGCTTTTGACTTCTTGCCAACTCCTCCATTGACTCTGCTTGTGGGAAGCTGGCAGGGAAAGTGACGAATCACAGTCACATGTCTGCGCGACACTATGGCAAATAGAAGTGAGGACTGGTGGCTGAAATGAAGCCTCGTGACTCTGGAGGTGCTATGATAACCAAAACTTCGAGGACTGGATGTGAGTGCCACTTGTTCAGCACGGTCGTTAAGTCCAATCAGACTTTAAATGAGGACCGCCTGCAATTTTAATGGACTGTACTGAAATGAGTCTCTTTTAATACTGCAAGGACAGATAGAGAGGGTGCGCAGTAAAAAATAAGGCATGTGCCTAAGTGTGCAAAAGTATATGACATCATGAAGAATAGATGTATTTAAATAACATGACAATTATATGCTGTTATATTTGAGACTATTTTGATTTCACCTGTCGGAATCTGACTTTTTATAATCTTACAACATAACCTTTTGCAATTTACCTGTAGATTCAGTGGGATTCTGTTCATAATAGTTTCTCCAGACATTTTAAAAATGCTTAAGCTGAAAGCCATCTTTCATTTTCTCTAGCTGAAAGTACAGCAACTGGAAGAAGAACTGCAGTCCCTCATATATGTGCAATCAGAGAATAATCAGCTTCGCACATTTTGTATCGCCCTGAAGGATAAATATGATCAGGTACTCCATAAATGTAATAAGACATTTGTAAACTAATAAATATCTTTTTTTTTCTATGAACATGAAACACTTTTGGAGCCAAGAAAGCGGAAGTAGCCTTTTGATTGCCACAAGGAAAAATTTTTGGAAACAAGAAAAACTTGCGAGTGGTTTTGTTTTTTTATTTTATTTTATTTTTTTTGAGGAAAAATTGCTTGGAATTATATTTCTTTCTGGGGTTTTTTTTTTTTTTGGGAGATTTTAAATGCTACATGATCAAATTGTAGATACAGCATACGTAGTTAAATAATCATTTGTATTAATATATATATATATTTCCTCTTGGAAAAATTTACAATACTAAATTAATACATATATTAAGAGTTTTGATTTGCCAGAGATGTTTTTTGAATGGAAATAAGTCATAGTTTTAGAACATCAAAACACATTTTGGAGAAATAGATGGCGCAATCATATAGGAGTATGGAGACCCAGGTTCTAATGGGAAGGGAAGGTTTTCTGAGTTTATTTTAAACAAAATAATTAGCGTATTTTTCAGAGTATAAGACGCACCAGAGTATAAGACGCACCAGAGTATAAGACGCACCAAGGTTTTGAAGAGGCAATTTTTTAAAAAAAGTAGGTAGGTAGGTAGAGGGGGAGGGAGAGAGAGAGAGAGAGAGAGAGGAAGGAGGGAGAGTAGGTAGGTAGAGGGAGAGAGAGAGAGAGAGAGAGAAATACAGTAGGTAGGTAGGGAGAGAGAGACAGAGTAGGTAGTAGGCAGAGGGATAGAGAGAGGAGGAGAGAGAGGAGGTAGGTAGGTAAGTAGGTAGGTAGGAGAGAGAGGGTAGGTAGGTAGGTAGGTAGGTAGGTAGATGTTTCCAGGTGTATTTATCCATGTGCTAGAGAAGGAAATCACTGACAATCTGCAGCACCTAAGACTTGTTTCTGCTGGCACAGCACTTGATCAATGTAATTCTCATCAATCACTCTAACTAAAGACCTCCCCAAAACGGCCCGTTTTTCATGAACTATAAGATGCACCCAGATTTTCAGCCTCTTTTTTATGAAAAAAGGTGCGTCTTATACTCCGGAAAATACAGTAACAAACACAAATTGATATCACAACTCAAAATAGGGTATGTCAAGTAATATCAGAGCATTTTAACCTCCCAGGGCACACCATTGTAGATCTCAATGTTGCTATTTTGAAAAAGAAAAACAGAATAAGGAGTTAAATTTAATCCAACTTGTCAATCTGCACTATTTTTTCACTTAAATTTGTTCATTACAGAAAGTGGATTGTGAAATATTACACTGCTTAAATCACATTCTGACCAAAGAGGAGGAGTCTCATGACATCACAAATGGAACAGAGTGATGTCCCAGCATTTCTATGATATGGGAGAGAACATACAGCTTTACCTTTGAATAAGAAGGGCTGTTGAGTGTAGAACTTTTCAACAGCCATTGATGGGAAAAGGGAACAAAATCAGATTTAAAATGGCTCCCTTCAGACCTCATTAATGTAACAGCTTTTTAAAAACAATATGTAGTTGGGGATAAGAATCTGTATTTGAAAATGGACACCACTCTTTTCAAACTTGATCAGCCTTCTCCAGGATTTTTATTTCTCCTTAAGCCACAAAGTTTATAGCGAAAATGCCTCTTAAAAAAAGAAAGTCTTCCGAAAATTGCTGGCAGCAGAAGTCCAGTAACCATTATAGGTCATGCATGGCCTGTGACATAAAGTACAACCTGGAACTGAAGGAACAAACGTCTTCCCTATATTCTCCAACGCGTAGAGTTCGTTTCATGACTGATCTGCCTGGAAGGGAATCTGTCTCTGACTGTGGTGATAATCGCAGAGCCTCTTCTCGTGATTTATTCAAAGCTGCCATGGCTGTGGATGAAAAGCTGGAGCGTAGAAGAAAAATCAGGAGCCGCAAACGTTTAGAAACTGACAGAGATGTAGTTAGTGAGGGAACAGATCTCCAGAGGGTGAGTTTAAAACCGTGACATGCAGGAAGAGGATATCAGCAACCAATCATATATATATATAAGTATGGAGATTCAGGTTCTACTTTTTCCTTAGGCAGGGAAGCCAGATGGATATCATTGGGTCAGTCATTCTCTCTCATAGCTAGGAGGCCTAGCCTATACTAGACTTGTGCGCGTGTGCGCGCGCGCATGCGCATAACCATATCCATTCATATGTTCTTATTCACAACTGATTTTGAACAACAGCCTGGTTCATTTCAATCTCTGCCTCTTCCTCACTCCCCACACATACACAGAGTGTATGATTCAGAAATTGGATTTGAAAATTTTTATCGAAGGGACTAATGTAATAAAATAATCATAATATAGATAAAGATAGACGATTATATATTCTGCTTGGAATTTGAGAAGTGAAACTGTTACATTAAGAGCCAAGAGTGTTAAGGAAACATATGTCATTCACCTGGGAAACTAGAGGGTAGTTTGACCGGTTAAAAGTTCATGCTTAACATAGGTGTTACATCCAACTCATCCTTAAGCTAGGGAGTTTGTAGCTTTAAAGAAATCTGGTTTTGTTTAAATTGAAATAGTAAGTTGGTTCCATTGCTAGTTTTTAATCCTTACTTTAAGCACGTTACTTTATTATTTAGCATTATGATTGTTTTATCCTACAGTTCGTTCTATAAGAGAAGATAATACCATTCCATGGGCAGTGGGTAGAAATAGTAGGACAGTTTATTATTATTACCACACACTGGTAATTGATAACATGTCAACCTGCTTTTAATTGAAATATACAGTATTTTGTGTCAGCAATTAGTCTACCTCTCCTTTTGTGCTTTGGCATCTTTTATGATTAAAAAAAATATGTTGAGTACTCTCTTTTGCGCTGGGCTTCCTTTTATGGCAACTTTAGGTGGGGGAATTCATTTCCTAATAATAACCATAAGATTAAATTGTCTTGAAAAATGATTGTCTCTAGGTTGCTAATTGTTGTTTTTCAAGTGATGCTTGTACGTATTCTGTAGCTCATGGATATATGTGGAATGGTAACCCGTTCTGAATATTCCAGTCTCTCTTTACTGTTTAGTTACTGATTTATTTGCACAAAATTGAGGGTAACATTTTCCCCACTAGAGATTAGTTCCTGGCATTTAGAAAAATAACATTTCTGTCTCTTTTTTTCCCCCCATAAAAGACACAGTCCCTCCTTGTCTGCAGAGACGAGGCTCTTTCTCTCTCAGTCAAATCCCACGAAGAAGCGTTAAGAGAGAACCAGAAGCTCAAAGGGCAAATAGATGCCATTGAAGAAAGAGAGAAGCGCAAGGTAACGCCAGATAGGAAAAGACTCTTATCAGCTTTGTCTACCCTTCCCACCTAAGTAATTTCACCAAAACACCTTAATGTTTCTATTCATCATCTCCATAAGGACTTTGGTTAATTATGTGACCTAGAGCCAAGGTGGCGCAGTGGTTAAATGCAGCACTGCAGGCTACTGCTAGATCAGCAG